CAAGACACCTCTAAGTTCTGGGTCAGTTGTAGCCACCAGAATTAGACACTGTTTTCTATTAAGGGTTTAAACAGTAGTGAGGGTAATGAGATAATTTCCTCACACTGTACTTCATATACTTTTAGGTATACATCACAGACACGGTGTTTCTTTGTTTAAATTTTTACACCTACATTTGTTGCTGACTCATAGTCAGATTTTTTTTCTGTCATTCGGAGTGAACAGAAGCTTTATGTTATTAGTACACTTTCTGTATTAAGTATGAATTCTTACTCTGCAGTATGTCTTTTAATCCATCATTAAATGATCATTTAAACATAAGTCAGAAAAAATATATAGGTTCAGATTAAGTACCAATAAATTAATATCTTAACTAGGCATGAATTAGTAATGCTTTTCAATTTACTGCCTTTCTACAATGGTTTGTCTCCTGGCTAGAAAGGGCTATTTTGCTAATGTTGGTTTCTAGATCAATGGAGCAAGAGATTTTTTTTTTATAGGACATATTGTAGCTGAACACTTGCAATTCTTTTGACAAAGTCCCTTATTGTGTCTTTGTCTATGTGATGGAGAAATGTGTGTACCAGAGGCGAGATGTTTATATAACTGAGAAGAGTCATAGTTCAACAACCAGAGAGGACTAAATCATGGATGTTGTTGACCTGTGGTGCAGGCTATAGTGATGTGTCTCATGTTTGACCTTGGCCTGTTTGATATTTGCACGAGTGACTTTTTTAAATGAAGACAGAACATATGTTTTTTGTTTTTTGTTTTTTTTAAAAGGTGACCGGTAAGGGGATCTTAACCCTTGTCTTGGTGTTGTCAGCACCACGCTCACCCAGTGAGCAAACCAGCCATCCCTATATAGGGATCCGAACCCGTGGCCTTGGTGTTATCAGCACCACACTCTCCCGAGTGAGCCACAGGCCGGCCCCAGAACATATGTTTTAAGATGTAAAGATTACCCAAAGTTGAAAAGAACAGCCAATTCATTGGTTATAAGAGGGAGGATTCTTCAGGGTATTGATGAGATTTTACATTGGGCTCAAACTAACAGGAAGGTTCTTGCCAGAAATGAAAGAAAAGAAATCCCAATAGGACAAGTACAGAGTGGAGGAATCACAGAAAACAGCCAAGAACAGCATTTCCCAGCAGGTCATTAATTCCTTGTGGTGTTCACAGGCCTTATAAGTTAAAAAAAGGATAAAGGTGTTGGGATCATTAAATAACAAGTGTGGAAATCCTGAGGTCAAACAAAGTTTAACATGTTTCTTTACTGTTGACCTTCTCAGCTTTTAATATGTTAACGTGCATTAAGGATTTTAAGAGGTAGATATAATATGCAGTGTTTTCTTAATTAATTTGGCCTTCTTTTCATGAAGCATTTTGCTGGTTGATGGGTCTGCTGGACACACTGGGAAACACTGACTCAGAGGTTTTAGTTGAGTAGAAACCCTATATGAGCCTACAGTACAGAACAAAGTAATCCAATGATACTGTCCACTGAAATGGAGGTACCATTCCCAGCAGAACATATGCGGAGAATAGTTTTCTAACGGACAGTGGCAAACTAAGTCATGTCATATGAGGAAAAAATAAAAGGAATAGAGATGAAGAGGCATAGATAGACATGACAGGTCTGGTAAAAATATTTAAAGGGCTGAGCAAAGGCTGACAACCTCCGGGTTACTGGTCAGATGGAGAATAATCATGATGATAACAGTTGCAAACATGGTTTTGCTATGTGCCAGACACTGTTCCAAGTGCCTTTCATTTGTTAACTCACATAATCTTAAAACAGCCCTACGTGATAGGCACTATTAATATTTCCATTTCATAGCAGAGGAAAATGTAGACACAGAGAGAGAATTTTACCTTCCCAAGATCACACAGCCAGTGAGTGGCAAAGCTGGGATTTGAGCTCTGGTGGTTTGACTCTGGAGCCTCTGCTCCTCTCCGCTGTGCTGGCAGCTTTCAGCTCAGTGTGATGAAGCACTTTTGACAGGGGTACCTGTACACAAGTGTTCAAGGTCACCATTTAAGGATGTTTGATCTCTCACGTGGGTACTGTTTACATAGTGGTTATAAGAACACACTGGCATCGGGGAAGAGTTTGGACTCCATGAATGCTGGAGGTCTTCCAGCTCTGTGGTGCCATTCTGAAAGGGTAAATTGACTTGCACGCTCCCTTTCATCTTTAGGTTCTATAATTCCTTTTTTTTTTTTTCCTTAATTTTCCACAAAGTATCTCTGTATTGGCATTCTCCACAGAGAAAAGTGCTCAACAAAAGCATTTGATTACTACTTTGAATTGATACCATTTTGCAGCTAGAAAATCCAAGGTTAAACCGCTCATTATAATGTTGTTAAATGTATAACTAGGGGTAACGACTGGAGTGCTGCTGAAGTGGTCAGTGTTGCAAGCCAAATGACCTGTCAGTCCAAACCCTTCTTTCTGTCTGAAATGTGGAGAAATCCTTTATTTGCAAACCACATGCCAAGAGAATCAACATGGGTTTGCAGTTCAAATACTCCTTACTTGTATGATGCTAAGTATCCCATGTCATATATTCAGTTTAACTTGGTCGTGGAATAAGTAGTTGTTCCTTGGTTCTTGCCTAAAGCAAATGAAAATCATCCCTGCAGAAAGCACTTTCATAGGGCTGGCCCGTGGCTCACTTGGTAGAGTGCGGTGCTAATAACACCAAGGCCCCGGGTTCGGATCCCACATAGGGATGGCCGGTTCGCTCACTGGCTGAGCGTGGTGCTGACAACACCAAGTCAAGGGTTAAGATCCCCTTACCGGTCATCTTTTAAAAAAAAAAAAAGAAATGGATACATAATGATGGATTCTAGTGAAGACCAAAATTACTTCTGTGTGTTTACTTTCTATTAGAAAGCGTCTCCATTGTAAATATGTATTTACATGTTTATTACAAAGACCCACATGAAAAATTTTAGTCATTTTTTTTGCATAGCCTAAGGATAAAATAGGAATAAAAGTTCTATATTTATGAATTTTCTGTATATAAAACTGGTTTCTAATTATAACTTAAGTTCATTAAGTAAAATCTGTATTGCCTCTTTAAATGTGAACTAAATTATTTGGGAGAAGCTTCAACCACTGATATGAGATAAGCAGTGAGAATAAGGAAGTATAACATTACAGTTTTTGATGTATTATAAAAACCAACCACTCTGTAAAATAAATTTTTTTACTTTTGGTAATATTTGCAAATGAATAATTTATTAGGGTGAAGAACTTACACGAGGTTGTAAAAAAAAAAAAAAAAAAAAAAATTAAGCACACAAGAAATCAAGATGAGTTAGAATCAGCAGGAATAGCAGACCACAGAAGCAGATCCACAATACTTTCATATTTTGGAATTATTAGAGATTTTTTTAAAAACCATATTTATGCTGTTAAAAAAATAAAAGACAACATTGAAAAATATTGGCAGGGAACCACAAACTTTAGAAGTGACTTTAAAAATGACCAAATAGAATTTCTAGATATTAAAAGGTACAGTAACCAAAATTTTAAAACTTTATGGTTATACAAAAGACTGGGTGTGACCAAAGAGAGAAATGAAATACCCAGATAATAGGGCAGAAGGAATTATTAGGAATGAAGCATAGAAAGATTTTAAAAGGGGGTAAATACTAGGGAAGTCCTGTTCAGAGAAATAGAGATTGAGAAAGTCTAACATTTATCTAATGGAGTTTTGTAAGCAGAATAGAGAGGGGATGGCGATGAGGCAATGTTTGTTCAGATCATGACTGAGAAGATTCCACAACTGATTAAAGACTCTAAACTGCATGATGAAGAAGCCCTGTGAATAAATAAAACCCTAGAAACAACACAAAAGAGGAAAAGAACAGATTAACTTCAAAGGAGCAACAGTCCGCTTTACTACTGATTTCTCCGCAGTAGCAACAGAGAAAGTAAGAATAATTTTTCAGTATGCTAAAGCAAAATAAAAACAAACAAAACCCCCAAACCTTCCCATCTAAAATTCTATACCCAATGAAGAATATGGATTTTAAAAAAAAAAAAAAGAGCATTTTCAGGCAAACAAAATTTGAGAAATTTACCACCAACAGACACCTACTAAAGGAACTTCTAAAGGATATCCTTCAGGCAGGACTGATCTCTGATGGAAGATTTGAGATGAAAGAAACAACGAAGAGCAAAAAAAGTTGTTAATGTAGGGGTTAATCTATCTCACAGTATAAAAAATTAAACCACAATCTTGTAGGCTTTAAAAAACAAGATATAATTAAAATGCATGACTACAGTGACATATTGAGTCAAATGATGGATAACTATATTTTGAGTTTTCTAAGATCGTTGTACTGTGTGGGATGAATCAGAAGCAACAGGGCACCATGAAAACAGCACTGGGCCCGCAGGTTTGGATTCTATTACGAGCTCTGCCGCTGGTTAGTTGTATGGCCTTTGAAAAACTACTTCTCTGATCTACATCTGTCTTCTTGTCTGTAAGATGAGACTTTGGAACCACGTGAATTTTAAAGGCCCTCATTATGATTCTATGAGAAATAGATTCTCTAGGGGAAAAAATCAATAGATCCTGAGTTGTTTTATTTTTCCTCTTTTGAATTTTATCAATAAACACTTGCATTTTACTTTTGGCTAACTTTTATATGTCTGTTTAAAAATTAGAGCTAAATATAACCTCGCCCAGGTGTATATTTTGCTTTGTTTTACCTGTTTGTTGGTTTCATTTTGTTTCCTTGTCATCTAGTAGCCCAAAAGAGTAATGGCAGTTTACCAAAGCCTCAGGGGTAGGCTCTCATGGATATTAGGGGGACATTTGCAAAAACAATCTGTGAAGAGCAGGCCTTGCTGTGCAAATATTGTTCTTTTTTCTTTCTTTTTTTTTAAACGCATTACCTGAGCTGACATATGCCTCCTTTACTTTCTCACCTTCTCTTCTTGCATTTTTTTGCCTTCCTTCTCTCTCCCTGTGTCTTTGCAGGCTAATAATAAGCCGGAGATTGAAGCGGCCCTCTTCCTAGACTGGATGAGACTGGAACCCCAGTCCATGGTGTGGCTGCCCGTCCTGCACAGAGTGGCTGCTGCAGAAACTGCCAAGCATCAGGCCAAGTGTAACATCTGCAAAGAGTGTCCAATCATTGGATTCAGGTATTAGGAACAACAACAAAAAAAAGTCTTTTTTTTTTTTTTCGGTATCTGGCCAGTATGGGGAACTGAACCCTTGACCTTGGTGTTGTCAGCATCGCGCTCTAACCAACTGAACTAACCAGCCAGCCCCTAGGTGTCATTGTTTTCCTTATCATTTCTCTTCTTTTTATGACTTGATCTTTTATTTCCTGTGCCAGTTGCTGTTAGTTTGTTCCTCTCCAACGTGGGAGAGAAGGTGATCAGGCTGGAACATCGATCACGCCTGTCATTCCTTTGGTTATTTTGGTGGATCTGACTCATTAGGCGGGTGTCCCTTTCCACCTTCACTCTTCAGCTCTTCAGAGCCACATTTTTGGTGGAACAGGACCGAGTGCCTGTCTCCACAGAGATCTTTGTCTGTCAAGGGCATACAGATTAACTGTACCTCCTCCTTCCTGGAGCCAAAACATTTCTACCATCTGTTTCTTTTTACATGGTCTTTTGTTTATAGAAACTCTCCAAGAATCAGTTTTAAAACGAAGAGATGATTCTATTCTGGGAGGAGCCATCATGGTAGCTCAGTCCCTTCTTTGCACCACTTTTTTTTACCCTTGAGTAACAAGAATTGTTTCAAGCATCCTGGAATTTCTTTATCTGTGAATCTGATCATACTCTTTGCAGAGTATCCTAATGAATTTCTAAGGGAATAAAGAGTATGCAAGTAAATGAAAGATTCACAAAGCAGCTTTTAAAAAAACCCAAAATGTTCCTTTTTTTTGGCAGCTGGCCATATGGAGATCAGGCCTTGACCTTGGTGTTATCCAAACTGCACTCTAACCAACTGAGCTAACCAACCAGCCCCCAAAATGTTCCTTATAAATTTAAAAGTGAAAGAGATAGGAAACATAGCTGGTTATTATTTTGATATTCTTAAAATGTCATGAGAAACAATTGGCTCTTAAATCTTTAGCCTTTTTGACCTGTTCAGAGAGACAGGGTATTCTTAGATGAATTAATCTTATTTAACCATAATCCTCAATCCTAATTCTGACACGATGATGTATTTAAACATCTGGATCAACACCAAGGTTTCCATAGTGATAAATAAGTCATAAACTTGTAAACTAGCTATGTAGTCTGTGCCTGTTCAGAATCCACTTAGCAGCTAAGTAAATAATCTTTTCTAGTTATGCTTAGACTTGTTTTGTTTATTTATTTCCTAATAACTACTTTGTACCATTTCTGTGCTTTTTTATTCACGGTGCTCTTTTACCATTGGTGTTTATCCTTCCATACTTGATGCTGTTTACAAAGAGGTTTTACAAAAACCTGTACAGGTTTCTAAAGTCTAGATAGGCAGGTATGAATGATGCCATGGGGGGTAGGGAGGCAAAGCTGCAGGTGACTGCAGCATTACATTCTTACCTTTCTTTACTCTGTTTCCTTACCTAGTGGGATTTATACACAGGAGAAATTTTTATGAAATAAAAAAGGAGAATGCTTTGAAGGATTTTTTCACCTTCAGTTTTTTTGCCCTTATCATATTAGATTATTTTAGGACTCAGCACTTCTCTTTCTTTTTTTTTTTTTTTCCCTCTCGAAAGATGGTTGAGATCTAAAAAAGGTAGCTTTTCTTCCCACTTTCCCATATGTGACATAAGGAATATGTTTATTTGAATTGGCTAAGGTTCTTATCTGAGAAAGCAAAAGGCAGGGAGGTATGAAACAAAGAATATAGTATTCTGAGAATGAGGGGAAATGTACCAACTAGTACTTACAGACTGTAAATTCTTTCATATAATCCAAATTTCGTCTTTTCTTGGGGTTTCAGTTATCAGTTGTGGGTAATGTGGTGAGCGATTTCTGGAGAGAGAGAGAAATAAGAGAGATCGTCTAAAAAACTGTTTGAAGATGAATGATGTCAGTCAATCAGAAAATGTAATTAAAGCAAGACTTGTTTTAATTGAGAGTTCTTGTTTAAGTTTCTTTTGTCTCATGAAATAGCTTTATCTTTATAACTTTTTGAAAACAATCGCTTCACAAACGTTTTGTCCCAGTGATGGGTAGGGAGTATGCAATACATCAATCTATCCCTTCTGGAAGTTCTTTCAAAATCTACTATTTGGTCTTTAAAAGACTGGAAGTTTGCCAGTATCTTCCTACTTAATCTGAAAGCATTCCTAGTGGAGTTTAAATAAGAGCTGAGTTTTTCTTCCCTTCTTCTGTATGTTTATAGGATAATCTTTCTACCAAAATGTTTTGATACTGTAGGAGAGACACCAGAGAAATCTGGAGGTAGGGCGTTAATCACTTGCCTTGTGGGATTAATGAACACTGCATTCTGTTTCTTGAATTAAGACTTGAATTAAGACAATGTGGTAGAAGGTTTATTAAAGAGTATTCTTTGGGAATTTGATTTGAAGAAATGTCTATGTTTGTTTTTGTTCTATACCAGGTACAGAAGTCTAAAGCACTTTAATTATGACATCTGCCAAAGCTGCTTTTTTTCTGGTCGAGTTGCAAAAGGCCATAAAATGCACTATCCCATGGTGGAATATTGCACTCCGGTAAGTTAGATGCTTCCCTGACGTGAGAGTTAATTCACCCAGGATCAATATCAGTTTTGTACAATATTGCAGATCATGTGTAATGCTGTGATTTATAAGTTCCCCAGATGTTTCCAGCTAAAGTGTGTCTAAACTGTAGGCTCCAGGATTTACCACTTCCCTGGTGCCTATGACAGTGCCTGGCACACATAGAACATGATAGACCCTCAGTAAATATTGTTGAATGAATAAAGAGATTTTTCTTCTGTTTGCATGGTTGTAGAGAAGACGTCTTCACATTAATTTTGCATAGCCCTAGAGGCTGTGTGGAGAGGTTTTATGGCCACGGGGCATGTTGGGTATGGTGGGGGGGTCCCAAAATTCATAACCTACTAGTTTCAATCAATGTTGCTCGCCTTTTATCTGTTTTATATACTAACCCCTAACACTTTTAAAATCTGTTTTACATACTAAAACTTACCAACTAAATGCTAGGTGTTTACCTTGTAAGCTATTCTGTGTGAAATAGGTATTATTATTTTTATTTCCTTTTACAGATGAAGACTCTGAGGTCCTAAAATTAAATAATTTGCCTAAGGTTCTATAAGAGGTAGAGCCTTCTCCTAATATGTTTTAGGAAAATGTTCAAGGGCTAGTGGAATTTTGAAAAATCACTGGTGAAATGGCGAGGGTAGAGACTTGGTGGTCATGTAGACCTGGGTGTAAATCATGTTCTCTAAACTCTAGATGCTTTCCTATTGAGCATGGTCTGTTGACCAGCAACAGTGGCATTACCTGAGAGCTTGTTAGAAATGCAGAATCTCAGGCCCCAGCCCCCAGCTTTGTAAATCAAAACCTGCATTTTAGCAAGATCTGCAGGAAGTTCCCATACACATCAAAGTGTGAGAAGCTCTACTTTAGAGCATTTCTCTCTTTCATCATCAGAGTGATCCTCCCAGGTATTTAATTGTCTTTCTCACTATTATTCCTCTTACAAAGGTATTCAGTGATGGAGAATGTACCATGCTGTGAATAGATTGATATTTAGTGGGTGAAGCTTGATGTCAATGTGAATTAAATAGTTTTTAAAATACCATAAAGTGTGGTAGATCTTAAGGTCAACTTCTACAAACTACCATTTATTGAGTAGCCTAATAACTTGTATACTTCATTTATTCATCATAACAACTTGTTGAGGTATTACTGAGCCTTGGAGAGGTAAATAACTCACCCATGTTAGTAAATGCCAAGCTTGGTTTCTAAGCCCTGTTTGTCTGATTCCAAAGCTTTTGCTCACAACCCCCACACTCTAGTTAATTACAAAACAAGTGTCACGAGGCAGAAGATAGAGTGGTCATTTGTTTTGAAGTGTTACTCTCCTAAATCTGATCTCACCATGGTTTCTCTTTCAGACTACATCAGGAGAAGATGTTCGTGACTTTGCCAAGGTACTAAAAAACAAATTTCGAACCAAAAGGTATTTTGCGAAGCATCCCCGAATGGGCTACCTGCCAGTGCAGACTGTCTTAGAGGGGGACAACATGGAAACGTGAGTAATGGTGAAAGCCAAGCAGTTTCTTATTGGATGTATATTTGAATTCCTCTCAGCTGAATACCCTCTGTCACTCCCAAATGCAAACAGTCTCTTCTAGTTCTTTCTTTTGACCTACTTCAACTGAAAAGAGAAAAACAAGCTAATCTTCAATGGCCGTTTTCCCATGTGTCTTGACAATTACATTTTCCAAAAGCTAAACTTTATCTCACAGGGAAAAACCCACATTATAGCCACTAATTGCCTTACAAGGCTTTTAAGAAATATGGGACTGTTTACAAATGAGTGATTCCAATATTTCATTTTGATTTTCCTCCTTCACAAATTAGTAGATGTGTGTGTTTTTGTATCTGATTGTGTGGTAATATCTAGTCACTTTGTTCTACTTGAGAGAAAATGTAGTCACAGGAAATTACTGCACAGTCAGTAGTAATGATTCTCATGATCAAACTGACAATGTCTTTCTTCACCTCCTTTAAACCTTCTCTTTTCTCTCATAACTCTGATGGCAATCACACAACTGTTTTTCTTTTCATTCAGTTTTCACCTTTGTTTGGCTGTTCATACTTCATTGGTTGGATTTTATTTATTTCGACCTTTCAGTATTCCTCTGTGGCTGAGTTTGCCTGTGTCTCTCTTCACCACCTCATTTTTTGTTTTGCAGTCCGGTTACTCTGATCAACTTCTGGCCGGTAGATTCTGCGTGAGTACTTTTGCTGAAGGGTGCTGCTACCACCGACACATTCGCTGCTCGCTTGATTTTTTTTAAGTTTTTGTTTTTGTTTATTTACTTGTTTTGTTTTGTTTTTAAACCATATTAATTTCCCTTCCTTCATTTCAGTTTTTTGTTTTTTGGTTTTTTTCCTCCTCTTGAAATGACTTTGAGAGTGCCATCTACCACAGATCAGGAGAATCAGTGGGGTTTTCAGGTTTTCCACCTGATGAAATTCTAAACAGCAGAAACGCTGGCCTGAGTTCAAATTAAAATCAAAGAAATTATTGGGGTTTTACTTGTATTCCTGGGAGACGTGTTTATATACTTCTTCACATATAAACAAGGTAGAGCCTCCGATTATACAACAACATTCTTGAGATTCAATGCTTTAAGACCTTCAAAAGGATGATGACTTATTCCTCAGGACCTGTTATAAGTGGACTATTAAAAATAAGCAAAATTTGTTTTAGAGTATGACATTGTGTTTGGTTGAATCATTTCAAAGAGGTGTGCGGGTTTTTTATCAGGGTATGCCTTGCTATTTGACTAATCTTTACATACATGGGTTTCTAAATTTTGAACTAAACCTACTTTGCTCTTCTCTCTAAACTAAATATGTAGCTCATAAACAGTGATACATTTATGCTCAGAGGAAAGTGTGCTGTACTCTTTGTTGTTACTATTGGTGTGTCTTAACAATACTAATTTTAGATACCAACAAATGATTGATTTATCTCAGAGTTTATAAAGTTAGAGAATTCTTTTGGGGGCCTGCGATTTATATATTAGCAAACAAAGTGTGCCTGTTTTAAAATTATACTATGCAGGGTATTTATAACAAATTTTTGGTATTTCAAAGTATACTTTATCAAAATATTTATTTAAAGTCAGACAACTCTATTACATATAAAGGGGAAATGACCAATTTGGAAGATGAGCTTATGTGAAAATTCAATTTAGTTTTATTGGATCTTTTTTATTGTTCCACCTTGTAATTTAATTTAAACCAAATCCTTTTTTTTTAAACCCTGTAGTGATAAATGCAAACTATTAATTGAGGTTTATTTTAAGTCTTTATTGGCCTAAAGGAAGTGGAAGACTTCCTGTTGTTTTTTAAAACTACATTATTGTGCTCCTTAATTTTGAGATATGGTAGCTATAAGTAGTGCATTATCTGATTTCTTTAATCATCGTGCTAAACAACTTGGGGAGTTATTTAGATTTAATTATGTTCTCTGCCTGTTGGTAATTGTTTTTCCTAACTCAGGTAGTCTATTCGTTTATAAAAGTTAGAACCTTTCATAAATAAGAAACTTTTAAAAAACTGTTATACTGAAGTCTTCAAGTTGATCAGATCCTGATAAGTAAATTTAGGTTTACTCTGTGTTGGAATAAGTTTAACCAAGTAATAAATCCAAAAGAAAAATACACCGAAGAATATTTTTTAAAATGTATGGATAAAGGTAGCCCAAAAATAATAAGCAAAGCATAGCTAGCAGTTCTTTGAAATGAAAGAAGCAGCTTCATGTAAGCTAATGAGGCAAAAAAGTCATGACAATTGGTGTAAAGTAATTTAAGTAGAGGATGTTTTTCTTTCTTAAACTTTGAAGGACTTTAAAATTAATAAGATCCTTTATTAAAATATCTTCTTTAACAATTGAAACACAGCCTCAATTTGCCTTTATATGAGAAGTTATGTAGATTATTCAGAAATAGTGGGAAGTTCTAATTTTGAGGAAAGAAACGAACCTGGCAAACTAAAGTCCGTGTTTTCTTTAATACGTATAATTTTATTTAAGTCTACTCACAGGATTATAAATAATGTATAAAATATATTGTAAACCTATTCTATTCAGGCAGAAGAGCCAGGTGCTAACATGTTTTATTTTGTAAGAATTCTGAGGTCAAAAAATCCTATGATGATGACAGTATTTAATCCATTTAATATGGGTCACAGAATCTGACAGTTTCCTGAGATACAGATCATTTGTTTTTTCTTAGACAAAACCCTATTTGCCTGTGTTTGTCATATTATTTTAAACTAAATCTAGCAAAGGCCTTTTACGTTGTTTGTCCATAAGTGGGACAGTCAAACAGTATTCTTTGAACTATTCTGCTGTGAAATTTAAACAAATGAAAACTTTTTAATGGGGTTTTCACACACACACAAAATGGTGGTGAGTGAGATGGAATTGGCTGAGTGGGTCATTAATGATAATAGGAAGTAATCCTTCTGCGCATATAGATTTGTATTTAGTAAGTGGGGAGGAGGAACAGTGTTGCTACCTTCCTTTGGAAGTGTTTTTAGAAGGCTTTGTACTTAGATTTGTTTGTGGACTAAGTGGTTTTGTATATTTACTAATTCTTTGCTTTTAAATGATTCTTCTCTGACCAATAGCTCTCTTTTGGCTTATTTTCTGATTTAAGAAGTGCCTGTTTTAGAGTATATTTTTTTTAAGATTTCTAGTGATTATGAGTTCTTGTGCTTATGCATGCTGTGATAGGTGCTTACATGTACGTTAACAAGAAAAATAACATGGAATTATCCTTGAGGCTAAGAATTAGAGCTCCGTGTAGGATTTTCTGTATAAGATTGTATTAAAGTGTTTTGGATTTACATGCCTACTTTTATTGGTGTAGTTACGCTCCAAGGTCTTAGATTTCTTTCTTTTATACACTACCAGGGTAGCAACTATTATAAGAGAAAACTACTAATATATTTTCCCTGATGGGGGCTTTTAGCTTATTAAAAATATGTAATTGAAGGACTGGTCTGTTCCAGAAGAAAGACAGTGCTTATAAACCAAATAATCCAAGTATTAAATTATCTTGATTTGCAGTGAAGATTTCAAAACAAACCTTAGCATTTTTCTAATAATGGTCTATTCCAAGATTCTAGAAAGTTAGCAGATTAACTCTCCAAAACTATGATGAAGATTCACATGGAAATCTTTGGATCTGCCTCTTAAATTGAGTAGTCATCCTTTTGTTTCCTCATGACAATTTAAACATTTTTGTATTTCATTCCAATTTGATTATGATTACACTTGACCAAGATGACATTGGTTTCATAAGTAAAGCCTTTATTTCTCAGGGAAGGCTTCCAGTCCCCTGGTTATTTGCTGTAGTGTGTTGTAATTATCTTATGATAGTGTATCTTTATTAAGAAATATGAATTGCTGGCACATTTTCGATGTAAGCCTAGCCACAGGTAACTACATTTTTTTTTTTTTAATGTAAGAAAAACAAGCATATTCTCCTTAGTATTCAAACCAAGTCCTTGAATGCTGCTTGGACATTGGGCTAAACCAGAGTCCTCACTGAAAACATTACTGTTAACTTTTGGATTCATGCCTTTACCTAAGGGCTTTCTGTGTCAGGAGAGAAATGGAAGAAACCTTTTGTCCTATTCCAATTAAAACAAAAAACACAAGCCCAAACTGGTTTTCAGAACAGATGGGGTGCTTTTTCCTAAGGTTAAACCAAAAGATATTATGAAAACTTCAAGGATAATTAATAGATCAGATAGATATGAAAGGATGAAAAAATGTTAACCCTACTAAAATTTCTAGCCTATGGAGCTAAGAAAAGGTAGGTTTTTATGTACAAAAAGTATACAGACTATTCACGCTGTCTTGCCTCTTGTTTTCCCATCTGTATTTTAGTACATGTATCCCTAATAAGAAATACTTCAGATACTGTGACATTCTATTGAATTTAGTCATTCTTTTTTAAAACATCACAATATAATCTTGGGTCATTCTATTTTATTTTATAAAGTAGTAGTGTAGTCTTGCTGCTAAGCTGGTAGATACATTCCTTCTTTAAAAAATTGCACAGACCAAGACATCTTGATAGATCGAATCTTAAGAAGTCTTGGACTGGAGTAGCCTCTTTGAAACAAACTATTGACTGTAAATGTACAGTTTCCATTCTATAAAAAGGTGGTTAGTAAATGGCACAGGTGTAAACTGTTTTGAAATTTTAAACCACATAGTGCTAACACAATTTCCAAGCTCTAGGATATGAAAAATTACAAGGTCGGAGGACAAAATGCTATGTAGATATTGTCTCTCCCAACCTTTTCTATAATTGAAACTTTCCAGAAAAGTTTTTGGTCTCTCTTTATGGCTTTTAAGAAAAGCAGAAATATAAGAAATTATCTCTCAAGCCTGGATTTAAAATACTTGATGATCTCTAAAATACAGAAACAACTAAATGTGTACATTATCCATAGAATTAGAACAAAAGCATTCTAGGCCATGTATATAACATAATTGTGTCGTGGTTTTTTTTCTCCATTAATGGATGGTATCTGTGACTAATCACATTTTCTGCCTTATAGGCCTGCCTCGTCCCCTCAGCTCTCACACGATGATACTCATTCACGCATTGAACATTATGCTAGCAGGTATGAGACTAGTTGGATGCCAGGCAAATATTGATTGAAATAACTAACCAAGGAAAGCTAACCTATAATAATTTTAAACAAATCTTTTTTTTTCCTTCCCCAATCTTGTCTGATTTCTACTAATCAACTTGCCCTCTAACGTGCATGCCATTCCATTGCATGTTGTTTTTGGACACCAACAACAGCATCTGTCCAAAACAATCTTTCCTAACCCTGGCCTTTAAACATTTCTGGTAGCCTTGTTATGTTTTTTTGTATTAAGCACATTTACTAAATTGACTTACAAATCATCTAACCTCCTTAGAAAACTGCTAGACTAGACATTAATATATGAAGAAGCAATCCTATGTAATGTGGAGACTATGAAAGCATCGGATTTCCATTTATATGTTTATTTTACATGGTATCCTGTAAAGAAGAGAATAATTTTCCTAATCCTTGGGCCTTTCTGTGCCACCTTCATTGCATTTGAGATCATTTTTATACCTAAAAACCGAATTACTAGTTGTAAAATATCTTATGCTTGTTAAATAAATCTGTAAGAGTTTGGTTATCATCTTTTTCTTTTTTAGTCGTAAAAAGCTTCATTATTGTCTAAGGTGAAGGAGATTTTTTTCAAAGGTAAAAATTGGTGGCAGAACATTTAGAGAGCTTACTGTGAATCCATCCTTTGTGAACATTCTCACTGCTAGACATGTTTATCAGTCATGGAAAGCATTAAGCAGCTATATAAGTCTGTCATCAGTGGAAAACATTAATTGTCTTAAAAGACAAGAGATAGTGTAAGGTATGGAGTGCATTTGTTGTTAGGGAAGCTTTTCTTCTGAAAACAAAGACCTGTTCTCAGTGAAAGGAAGATCGATCTGTGGGAAACAAAGAAAATACCACTTCCTTTAGAATTTGTATCGTGAATGTAAAGCTACTAATTAGCTGTCACCTACCACACACTGCCTCAAATGGTTAAGCCAACACACACATTCTTTAATTTGAAGGATTCCTTTCTCCTCTTGCCATGATTTATTCTTTAGTTTTCAGGAATGTTCGATTAGGTCTTGAATAGATTCTAAGAAGTCACATAACTTTTAATGAGCTTTTACGTTTTTTATCAGGCTAGCAGAAATGGAAAACAGCAATGGATCTTATCTAAATGATAGCATCTCTCCTAATGAGAGCATGTAAGTATCCCATCTCTTTCTACAAAATGTTCCTGACAATGAAATTGCTATGAGGGATTTAGAGGTAGGATAGCACAGGACATAGGAATTAGCAACATATTCATTTGATCTTTCAAGGCCCCATTCATTTACTTTTTTTCTTTAACTTTTAACATCCTGGCACAGAATGAGCTCATCCAAATTCTAAAATTATTGATATTTTAGAGATGCAAAAGTAGTTTGCCTTATTCCTATTTAAAGTTATTTAATACAAATTGCAGAGTCCCAAGTACTTACATTAAATGGTTTATCTTTGACCAAACCTGCCAGATATTTAAAGGGATAGGATATTAATTTAAGCGATGGCTTGGTAATATTTTCTCCACTCCTGGGGAGTGGAAAAGCGATCTTGGTATAGCATTGCTATCCCATAAGTTGGATTAGTTGGACATTTTCCTTCAGAAATCCAAAGTAGTAGATTTTTGTGATTTAGTATCTTCACAAGCTAAATAAAGCGAGGCATTCTTGTGAAGGGTTTCCAGAGGAGGGAGTACAAAATCAGGTCTCAATTTATTAGTGAGATGATAAGCCAGCCCAGTTAAACTTTAAGGAAGGAGATAGAGTGGTGCTAAAACTGGCAGAGAACACAGGGAAACAGAGGTTTCATTGTAGAGTAGGAGCACTGTTCACAATATGGAGCACAGAGGAACATTGCCATGAGCCAAGTAAATGCTGACTAGGGCCTGGAGTGGACAGAGCAGGTTATAAAGCAGATATGAAGGGAAAAAATCAGGATCTGCCAACTGAATAAATAATTTAGACAGAAGAAATCTAGTCAAAATAAAATGATGCTTTTAGTTTGATAAGTTATGAATGTCTTGCCATCTTGTCATGGGGAATATAGACAAAGGGAAGAATGGTAAATTTGTCATATATGGTTGGTGTGGCAACCCAAAGTCATGCTCAGATGAGAAGAGGGCTTTCACAAGAATTGGGCTGAGGGAAATAGTATCATAGTGGCATTTATATATAACTAGCTATTGAAGACATGAGAATAAATTGTCTCATCTGGTCCATAGAGGTGGTTACGATAACAATGAATTATCAAGTCAACTCAGTCATTTGTGTATGACTTAGTTGCTTCAAACAAACAAATAAACAACATTTTCCCAAGCATAACTGTGATGCGTTCTCCTTCTATGGGAAAAAGTATTAATGGTATTAATATACAAAATACTTTGACAGAAAAATTGTGACCAAAGAATCAACCAAATGTAAATGGCTGGAATGATTTGCTTCTTTGGCTCACTGCTTTTGTTATTAGAAGCTCTAGCACATTCAAATTAATTCAAGTTGTGTCTATATAACAGTGGCCACCATTCATTGACTGCCTAGGAGAACAGTAAGAAAAAGATTAATTACAACTATATGTTATAATTAAACATGGGAAGTTCTAGCCATAAAATTCAGGATTTGGGAAGAGAAATAATAAATTAGATAGGTGGTAAAACTGCTTTTGTTTTATTTTTTAAACAAATTTAGCTGTACCTCTTTCTGAAGACATAAACCCATTTTGACTCAATGTTGAATGGTAAAAATCATGGTATTTTAGGGACAGGTTTAGGAAAGTAGTTTGGGGGATTGGTTGACTAAGTGAAGTGTTTGTTTTTAGCACCCAATAATTATTTTTAGCCAACTTTTCACATCTCGACCAGTTCTCTGGCTTGATGGATCAAAATAATTTAAATCAGCCAACTTTTTCCTAAATATCTGATGTTTTTCAATTTAAAGTTTAGTGGGTGTGGAGAGGGGAATATTAATGTATTATCTTAATGATATCTAACCAGAAACAAAGAGCTTTAGCCTCTCATTAAGAACAGGATAAAGTTCTTATAACTTAGAGGTAAATAGGCTTTTCAAAGGCTTGGAGCAATATGTTCAGAAAATAATTTCTCCTGTGTATTAGAGAGTTCCTAGTTTCCAAGAAATTTTGCAGCTACTCTTAAAATATGAGCCTTCTTGCCTTCTTTTTCCCCAGGATTAGTCCTTAAGGCTTGCTCTGAGGAAAGAGTTGTTCAGTCTTCTTTTAAACAGTAACCTTAATGGCTTTTTTCCCTCAGTTTTTGTTTTTCTATCTGAACAGTAATTGAATAAAACAACCATCTATCTACAGTTTAATTATAGTTACCCTCCTGTCTCCATGACTTTTATAAGTTAAAACTGGCTTGCCAAAGCAACGCTTTTTGGTTACTTTGCCTTCCATTTAAGAAAAATATTTATTATTTTAGGGGCTGCAGTTTCTTTCTAGTCGGTATCAGCAATAGCGTGAGTTAGTGAACAGATTTTCTTGACAGCCTTGATAGCAAAAGCATTATACAGCCATTATTATGTCTTTAAATATTTATTAACTATTGGCTAAATGGTTGACATAGAGTCCCAGTATTTCTGTAATTCTACTATTCATTTATCCATGTAAATAGGCCAATCGATTTTATTTGCACCTTGAATTGACAACAATAGAATGGTAGACCACAACCTCAACAGTATCAAAAGGTCTCTAGAAGCAGGAAAAAAGGTCTAATTAATTGTTAAGAGCAAATAAATGTTTTTAATTTCAAATACACACCCGAGTCCCTGACCCCCAAAGCAAAATAAGGGGGGGAAAAAACCAAAACCTTTGATTTTATTTTCCAGAGATGATGAACATTTGTTAATCCAGCATTACTGCCAAAGTTTGAACCAGGACTCCCCCCTGAGCCAGCCTCGTAGTCCTGCCCAGATCTTGATTTCCTTAGAGAGTGAGGAAAGAGGGGAGCTAGAGAGAATCCTAGCAGATCTTGAGGAAGAAAACAGGTGAGTTTTCTTTGTAGCTTTGTCATTGGTATGCAGAGTGCATACAATTGCACACATAGAAAAGCGCCAGGTATCTTCATTTAGAGTCATTTTATGTCTAACTGTTTTCTAAAATAATCTGTTTAGCTCCATTTGCAGATTCTCTTTTTTTGTTGTCCAAAAGAAAAAAAATGAATGCCATAGTATGATTAAGAGCTCATATTTTAGGTGTGAAGGAATTAATACTGATGGTGGTATTTGATTTGTTGCATGTGTTTCAGAGGCTTTGATTTTGCATTTTAGAATAGACTTTAAGAACAAAGCAGGTCATTTAATTTTAGGATTATATGATTTTTACATGTGTTTGGCCATATTATCTATCTCAAACATTTAAGAAAGTAGGTTCATTGGCTTGGTTATATTTGGGAACAAATGATTTCATCTTATTTTCTATCATCAAATGCAGAAATCATCACTTAACTCACCATCGTAGCAGATTACTGAGACAATTCCAATTGTCAGCCACCACCTATAAATAATGTTCATGTAAAAATAGCAGACATTCCAGAAGAAAAAAAAAGCTAAAGAAAATCCACAATGACTACACAGAGGACAAAGATCTGTAAATCTGGGGTATTGTGTGATGTCAGGATAATGCAAATCATTGGACTTTTGCTTTTGTATTACATTTATTATATCACAGGTCCCTTGGTTTAAAAAACCTTTGCACATGATCACTTCTAACTTACAGTGAGCCTTCTTCAGACAAATGCCACCAGGCAAGTCTTTAAAAAGAAATTGCTCAAATTTCTGGGAGTTGGGTACTTTCATCTCTTTGGTTTAGCCCAAGGCACCAAGACCTCTCAATCTAAGCAACACAGTGTCTGAGACCAGTGCCCTCAGGGAGTATGTCACTTCGAGATGAAACAGCAAACTGCCATTCATCCATTGCTTTCTGCTGCCACTGCCCGCCTTCTAGCTCTTAATACCTCTGACCTATGGCCCTAGCTCCTTATCTGGTTGGCTTCCCTTTTCCACCCCCCAATAAATCCTCCATACTTGCTCCACTTGTACATCTTTCCAGAACCAAGACCCCTCATGGCAATCTTTCTTCATCAGATTTCTGCATATAGGGAAAAAAAAATCTAGCTTCTTAGCTGGCCATTCAAAACCTTCCACAGTTTTCTCTTGACCTGCTTTTTCAACTTTTATCTTCTTTTGAATTCTCTGTGTTCTATCCGTGCTGTTGTAGCTAGTATTTCTGAATACATCCTGCTTTCATCCACTTTCTGGGTCAAGCTCAAGCTTGCTTCTCAGCCTAGCTGCTGACCCCCAACCCTTCACTGCCACATCTGACAGAGAAGTCCTACCTATTCTCCATGACCTTGCTCAAAATAACTTCCCTGCAGAACCCTCCTAGATCTCCTGCAGTTAAAATAATTTATCTTTTGCCTATACAGGTATTCCCAGAACACTTTGGAATTTTCTCAAAGAACTCCTTGACAGTTTGCCTTTTTATCAGTTATTACCAGCACCTCCCTCTAATGAGATAGTGAATGACTTTGGGGCAAGGACTGTCTTAATCATTTTCTTTCTTTCTTTTTTTTTTAATTTTACTTCTCAGTATACATTGTAGTTGATTTTCATGCCCCTTTACCGTTCCTCATGTCGTGTCACCTATAGTACCTAGCACAGTGTGAATACTTAATGTGTACTCGGGAAATGTTTGGTGAAAAAATAAGAATAAAGCAAGGATATCACATAAGCACCATCCAGGAGGTAATACTGAACTTTTTTTTTTGCGGGGGGGGTTGATAACAACTTTATCTTTGGCCATATTTGTAAGATTGTTTGGCAGCGAAGACCATGGTAGATAAAATATTTCCCTACACTTTATTGAGAATATTCATTAGTATCCATTTATGTTAAATCTTTAGTTATTGTAGGGATCAGAGTCGAATAGGAAGAAAAAGTTGGGATTGTCATTGTAAGTAGAATTTGGTGTTACCATGGAGTAAATATTTTTTTTTTTACTATACCATTGTTGCCATTATGTAATATATCTTTTTAGCCCATTGTTCAAGAGCTGTCTTGATTGTTGTTAGCCCGCTCTCTCTCCATACCATGGTGGCCAGGTCAGAATTTTGGTAAAGAGTACTGATAACTATCATTTATATGTCATTTTATCATTTTCAGATCATTTTAATGTATTTTAGGTTATTTAATCAGCTCTATAAAGAAGAGCTTGTCTCCTTTCTGTAGATAAGAAAACGCAGGCTCAGAGAGTTTCAAATAGTTTGCCCCAGATTTCATAATCAGCCAGTGGTAGAACTAAATTCAAATCCAGCTTTTCTGACTCAAAATAGCCAACTCTACCTTGGACCAAAGAATAAAGAAGAGTCATTCCATTCTCCATAATGTATTTGTAAGGACTGAATGTCCCTGAATACACCACTTCATCTACTTGTGGCGCAGTGATAACCACTTTACCCTGAAAGATACCTAAGACCATTCCCCAAGAATGGGATGGTTTGTTCTCAGAAAAAAAGAAAAACATTACACCAGAGCTACTTAGAGCTCCAAAATGAGGAATCTGGTATTTTTGTTTTGTTTTGTTTTGGAGGCTGGCCGGTATGGGGATCCAAACCTTCAACCCTGGTGTTGTTATGACTGTGACACCGCGTTCTAACCAACTGAACTAACCGGCCAGCCCAAGAATCTGGTGTTGATGTAAGTGAAGGTCAGGATGAGCTTCCTTCTTTCTCCTTCCACCTTGTGACATTTTCACGTCCTACCAGATTCTAGAGAAATGTTTCTACAGAGTTTCCCTCCTGAAAACAGCCTGTCTGGTATTTTTTGCTCCGTCCTCTCCTGTCTTGCAGTTCTACTCAAAGAGCTTCAGAACCATAGCTCTGCCTTCATGACCTCTGAATTCAGTGCTGCTTAAGCAGCCATTAATTTGCCATTTCCTGTCCTTCCCCTAAGAAAACCCAGGAAGTCATTACATTGCCACTCTGTGCCTGCCAAACTGGCTATTTCCCACATCAGAACTGGGCTATATAATCTGACAAATACAAGCATACTTTTAGAGAAAATGGAAAAGGATATTTAAAATTGAGATTGGCTCACATCCTTTGGATGTGAGCTTACTATATCTAAGTGTATTTTCTGTTCCTTGATTCTGTAGCTATGACTTATCTCCAAATAACAGCAAAGGACAGAGGCTTGGAGACCCCCATTCCTGACTAGATATGTTGTTAAATTCTGTTTATTATTCTTATTCATAACAGCTCCCCATGATCCCCCAGGAAAACAGAGGATGGCTATTTTAGAAGTGTCTCAGGGGTGTCTTCTCTCTGTGTTTAGAATTCCATGTCTTCCAGTTATTGTACATAGCATTCAATAAATATTTGTTGAATACATTAATGAATAAATGAGTTGAAGCTGAATTTATTTTAATTGTAGCACATATGCATGTACTTTTAACTAAAATTCTTTTACGAACCTAATTTCATACTTCTTTTTTTTTTTTTTTTTCCTTTTTTTGTCTTTTTTACTGACCGGTAACGGGATCGCAACCCTCAGTGTCGCGCCCGCACCGGGGACCAGCAACGGGATCGCAACCCTCGGTGTTGCGCCTGCACCACACTCAACCAGTGAGCGGGAACCGGTCTCCACATGGGATCCGAACCCTCGGCGGGAGCGCTACCGCGCTCCCAGGCGGCGCACTCTCCAGTGCGCCACCAGGCCGGCCCCTAATTTCATACTTCTGTATGAAAAAAGCCTTTCCTGCTCTTTTCAAAATACTTCCCTTCTTCAAACTGCCTTGATTAGCACCAAGCATTGCTTTGTCATAAATTTAAAATGTTAAGAATCCATTTTCTAAGTCCCAGGCACTGAGTATCTCCCCCGTTGGCATTCTCTGATTCTGGTTTATGCCACAAGATAAGGCTAAAGCTCTGAGCAAAAGCTAAACCTGATTGAATTTTTCTGAAAGTGTCTCTCATAAGTTTGGGCTACAAGTGATAATGAGATATCCAATTCTTTAATCTTTCACTTCAGCATAATATCTCTCCTTCATTACCACAGATAATTTGGATTCATCTTAATTTGTTAGAGACAAGTTGGATATTGAGAATTTGTCCCATCGTGTGTCTTTAGCATTGCAAAATCAAGGTTTACTTAATCTAAAGCCTGCACTCTACTGATTTAAATCTGTAGTGTTCAAATCCCGATGTATTTTTCTCTGCACTGTCTAAATAAACCAAGACTTGCTCTGAAATCCAAGGTAGGATCCTAGTAATGAAAAGATAGCCTTTATGAGAGACAAAGACTCACTGTCATCCAACTACCTTGAATAGCAAATTGATTAGGTTGCTCCCAAGTGTAAAAGGCAGGTAAATACTAACTTCATTCACTGAGAAGTCTAAAGTTGAAGTTGTTAGCGAAAGAAAGTGAGCTGAGATGCCAGGTACGGTTCAAGTTTTATTAAAGGAAAAGAATCTGCCAGGCTGTGCTCAAAGTGGCAGACAGTCTGGGGCTGCCCTGAAAATGGTGGACAACACCAAGTTTTGGGGTGACAGAGCTTATACAGGTATGTTGGTGCCAAGAGCTGGGTGATGTAATTCTGGGGTGGGGATTGAGTTAGGTCATGGGGATGTAGTGTTCTGCGCATGCGGAAACTCCGAAAGTTTCTTTTTCTCTGAAACCATGAGGCTTCTTGTAATAGAGAAGGGAGGAGAGGGGAGGAGGTGGGCAGCACCATTTTGTACTTGGGCTTATCTAAAGTGGCGCTGGTTATGTTGCAGATCTATTAGTTAGTAGATGTTATGTAACAACAGGGAACTCTGTGGATTCTTGGTACCTACTTAGTACCTTTTATATGTCTTATTGTTGGGTGACCAGACCTTATGCAGCCTAAATTTGAGTTTTCTCTTGTTTCTTTTCATTACTCTGATGATTACACAAGATTATTTATGTTATATTCAAAAAAATTTTAGATTGGTTACTTACATCACTGA